TCGTTGTCATACAGGCACCAAACCATTTTGTTGGTAGTTAACGGACAGACTCATTTGTGTGGGCACCAGCACACAATAGCAGTTGTGTTCCATCTCGCAAATGACTACACTTCATTGAGTTTATGCTCAGTGGGGCAGTGTTTGCAAACCACTTAGATTCCAGGATGGAAAGAGCTACAGAAACGAAACATCCAGTCCTTCTCTGAGGTGTGTTGTTAGCCTCTGTTAGCCACAGGTTACAGGGCACTAAACACTATGTACTGTGTATTTGCTTCTAACCACTAGGAAAAACAGCCTATAACATCTTTCTAAAGACTCCTAGAAAATGTTAAGCTAATTTAAAATCTGGAAATTTAACTGGCACAAATTTCAGTTCTTAGAACTAGCTCTTTCCAAAATATCTCACTAATTCTTTTTGGGTGTCAATTCAATTTGGTTTCAACCAACACTGTTCAACAAACAGTCTATTGCTAAAGTTTAATGTTATCAGGCAGAAAGGTGAAGAAGGTAAAATAATCAGTTTTATATAGACCTAAGTTAATGTGTAGCCTACAAATAACCTTCTTCCTTTTCTCTCTCTCTCTCTTTTTTGTTTGTTTGTTTGTTTGTTTTTTGGTACCGGGGATCAAACTCAGGACCTTGCACTTGCCAGGCAGGCACACTGCCACTGAGTTAAATCCCTGGTCCAGCTTTTTCCTTTTCAAATGCATCAAAAAAGTAATTTCCTTCTTTAATAACCCATACATGTATAAAATAATTCTCACATAGACAATATAGAAGTTAGAAAATCTAGAACAAATTCCTGGGACTAAAGGTGAGAGTCAGGTACAGGAATTCAAAATTATCAAGTATACTATATACATGTACCAGTTTCCCAAAATGAATGTTAACTATTATATACTGCAAACACACTAATTCAAAAATACATTAAAAATGTTTTGAAATCCTAAATAATATTTTAAACTGATGGCCTCAAAATAGCTTGTCAAAACATTATTTGCAAAAGATTTCTGATCTCTAGCATGTGAGCCAAATCCAAAGTATTACTTTCTATTGCCCAAATATCTACAACTTTAGGAGCAAATGAAGTCTACTTTGAACAATATATGACTATAAAATTTATAATTATTAAGTATATTAGAATTTTTAAAGGCACCGTTTTTGAAAAAACATTTTTCTCCAAGTTACTGCTATAAATAATGAGTGAGGGCTTCTGTGCCCTGAATACACTATTTCTATGTACTGTAACAAGACAGACTACTGATAAAGTACCTTGTGTGTTCTACACAGCATTTAGTCTGGAATCTCTCTGGAAGCAGAAAAGTGACTACATCATCATCAATTTATGACAATTCATTTCATCATCTCAGAACTTCCAGTTTTCTAGGATAATTTCATTAAAATATTCATGAATTTCTCAAAAACACTACACTACATTATTGTTTAATAAAACTGTATGTGCTGGGGCTGGGGATTTGGCTCAGTGGTTCTGCCACGTGCCTCACAAGTGCAAGGTCCTGACTTCAATCCCCCGTACCAAAAAAAAAAAAAACCAAACCAGGATGTGCTTACAAAAGTCACAGAAATTATAAAGTGGCATCATCAACAAAAGAAAAACGTCAAGATGCACTTTCAACATAGAACCTTATAGGACAAGTTCTAAGAAGGAATATAATGTTCAATTTCTTCCAAGAAATGAAGTATATTAAAAGAAAATAGAGACATTTTACTAAACTCAACTACTCAAAAAATATGGAAATCGGGCCAGGGATTTAGCTCAGTGGTTTCGCTGCCTGCTGCGCAAGCACAAGGACCGGAGTTCGATCCCTGGTACCAAAAAAAAAAAAAATGGAAATTCTTGAAGTTTCTACACATTTTCAAATTAATGCCTGCTGATTGTAAGGAGCTATGTAATAACATAAAATATACAGTGGTTTAAGATTATTATACAATGTTGTGAATGTACTAAATGCCACTGATTATACATTTCAAAATGGTTAATTTCACATTATATGACTTCCATATCAATGTTTATTTTTATATGCTACTAATAAATTTTAAGTAATTTAAATAATAAATTTTAAATTATTTTAAGTAAACCAGAATCACAGAATCCAATTCATGAACATTATATTCCCCTAATTTTTAAATAAAGAAAATGGATTTAATTGAATTTTCTATTATTTACCCTGAGATGTGTAAAGTACTCCTATTTTTCACTAACTCTAGCTATACTATAAAAAGCTATTTTGACCCCTAGAGTCAAATATCACTAGAAGTCAGACTACTCTTAATTTTTATTTTTAAAAAAATCCTGTATGGGGCCAGGTATTTAGTTCAGTGGTTCTGCCGCCTGCCTCGCAAGCGCAAGGACCCGAGTTCGATACCAAAAAGAAAAAAAAAAAAAATCCTGTATGTAGCCTGAAGATAGATTTTTATGGAGCAAAACGGAAAAAGAATTATTTTCAAATCCCATTTTATCAACCACATAAGTAAAACAAGGATTATGGTTTTTCATATATCTCTATTCAGTTTTCTTCAGCATAATGTACACTTTAATCAATTTTTAAAACAACAGCAAACATCCCGACACAAAAGTCTGAGATATACATTTTAAAAATAAGTGTACATAAAAATATACACTCACATGATCACTCAAATGTTAAACATGAGCTGAAAGATTTTCCAGAAGACAAAATACAATGTAGAAGAAAAGACATAGAAGGAATTTTAAGTCAAACACATATATAAGTAATTTTTTTTAGATCTCTAGAGCCTATATACATGATTTAGAACCATATTAATCCCATTTGTCATCCCCCAAATATTTTACAAAATAAATGAGAATCTATTTTCATCCAAAAGCAAGGCAATGGTTTTTGACAACAACCGAATTCCATACAGGTCAGTGTCAACATCCTCTCTGTTCTATAGATTATTTTTTACAAGAAACAAAGTTCAAAATACAAACTTATGCTTCTGCTACTCAAACACAAAACTCCAATAAAAAACTAAATGAAGATTTTGAATATTCTCCTCGTAAAGTCTCATGATGATGTGAAAGATACACACTAATTTAAACCATAAAAACAAAAATAAATAGCATGTCAATAAGTATTATATAATGAGCACAGCAAGCATCAAATAATTATATTCAATGGCATTACTGTTTTTCTAAATCTGTCATTAAATTAAAACCAATATGCCAAAGCATTAAAATAGCAACTTCTTCACTGAACATGCTCAGAGTGAAGTAATTAACTTTTTAAAGGATATTACTATCATGTTTCTATTTGTGAGATTTTTACCTAAAAATTTATAAACTATGTCTAATGCAAGCTCATATTGCCAAAGAATTTTTATGTAATAGTTCAGGTGATTTTCTTGCTGTACATAGATTTTCTTCTGAAAATATATCATTATCATATTAATTTATTGTATGTCCTTCATATATATAGTAGTACTTAGTTATAAAATATAGATATAAAATATAGATGTCTATTAAATCTGTTTTGCTTTTCTTTCTTTCAAAAAGAAAATAGTAATAAAAAATACAAAAAATACTCATTACTTTTATGAAAAATTAAAATTTCATAACAAAATAGAGAATGACAATAGTTAACATACTGTACATCATGATCTTAAAAGAACACCCAAAATGCTACTCAGAGGACAAGACATAGACAAAAAAAAAAAAAAAAAGACTTGCAAAGAAGAAAATAAAAGGACGAAAGTTTCTCTTTTTTTGGTAGAGAGATCAAACTCAGGACCTTGTGCTTGAGAGGCAGGCAGCGGAACCAATGAGCTAAATCCCCAGCCCATCTGACAAAACTTTCCTTTTAGTGAACAAAAACAAGACCAGTAGTACAAATGAAACAAATTAGTATATATCTTAAAATATTGTGAAACATCGAAATTGATAATTTGGGCAATTACACATTTGAACTTCTCTCCCGGCTTCCTATTTATCTATCTTCTATTTTGCAACCTCTCCATATATATTTTCTCATATAAAAGAAACTATGTGATATTTAAGCTTGTGTGTGACTTATTCCACTCAACACTATGCTCTCAAGTTGCATCCATTTGCCAACAAATGCCTCAAGTTTAACTTTCTTTATGGCAGAGTAGTACTCCATTGTGTATCAATACCACAGTGTCTTTATCTAGTCTCTGTTGATGGACATATACACTGTTTTCAAGGTCTAGCTCTTATAAACTGTGCTGCTATAAACAGGGGTATGTATGTATCCCTGTAATGTGATGACTTTAACTCTTTTGGGAAGATACCTGGAAGGGGGATTGGTTTGGGATTGTTCAGCATCTTGCCATGTAGCTTCTGCTGACTATCAAATGCTCACAAGTGTTGGAATTACAAGTATGTGCCACCATGCCCAGCTAAATTTGAAGAACTATTATGATTTACTAGACAAGTCACTGACCAAAAGCATATACATATAGATATGCTTTTTGTCCTTGTAACTTAAAATAAAATTAAATTTCCATTTTTCATTCAGTCATATGACAGTAGACACTATAATCAAATTAGTTAACATCAAAATATCATTTATCATTGTACTTATTCAACTGCTGATAATAATATCTAGTAATATAAGAAGCATATAAAAACTTAAAAGTTTTCCAGCTCCTACCAGTTAAGTGTCACCCATTCACACGTCCACATCACTCCAAACGTAATTAGAGAGGGATAAAACTAAAGGACTAGCACAAATATATGAGTCCCTCTCCATAACAGATAAAAATCAAAGTAGGAAGGGCCGGGGATTTAACTCAGTGGCACCGCGCCTGCCTCTCACCGTACCTGCCTAAGCTCGATCCCCAGTACCGGGAAAAACAAATTCAAATTAGGAAGAAAGAAAGTGTGTGTGTGAGTGTGTGTACATGTGTGTGTGCGCCCACACCTATGTGTGCATACATACTTGTGCATGTTTTGGTAAGGGAGTATTTCAATTCTACAGTAATCAGAATTCATACTATACCTGTGCTCCATAGATATATTTATCCAACATTTTTCCACCTATTGTCTGCCCTCCTATATCCCAAATTTGAAGAGTAACATTCAAATTTCCTAAAATATAAAAAAAGAACATAAAATAAGAACATAAAAAGTAACAATGTAACAGCTGAGTACAGTTTCACAAAACACTAAGTCACAATGATAAACTGAACTTAATTTGCCTTTTATTCTGCAAATTCATGTAGTCAAATACTTGGAACTGTGAAAATAATGTCAAAGAAATCAGCTGGGAATCAAGATTTATCTCTTTACATATTTCGATGGAACTGCATTTACAATATTCTTCAAAATAAAAGAAAATAATGTAAGCTTTAATTTAAAAACTTAAGCCTTAGAAAGAAAAAAGGAAGGAAGGAAGAAGGCAGGCAGGCAGTCAGAGAGAGAAGAAAAGAGGGAAAGATGCAGGAAGGGAAGAAACCCTGATTCTCAGGGGACAAAAACAATAAAGCACATATGCAAGGAGAAACACACTTTAAAAATAAAAACTGAAGCTTGATATACTAACCCACCCAATCATACACAAGAATTTTGCTGCCGGTTCTAAACAGTATGGGTTCTAAAACTCACAGAATAATAACAAACTACATAGATACACCCATAATTTCAACCCAAATGAATGAACTGTTTTTAATGTTAATGTCAACTATTATATGTAAACAATCAAAAATTACGTTTCAAAAACTCATTTGATAGTCTTGCTCAGAACTGATGTGGGACACAGAGACTCAGTATACCTCCAAATATCTGATGCATTCATAGCTGTTCAAAGCACATCCACTGAAATAATTACAGATTTTTCAAAGCCTTCATAAAACAGTGTAATCTTCTTCTCCCCGTAAGAATTACAAAAGCATCCAACAACACTGTGCATTTTACCAAATATCTGACTGAAGCAAATATTTGAGATAAACTATTTTTATCAATACAACTAATGACTGAGCTATAAAAGTCAATTAACATGTCCAATATGCATTTTAGACTAATACTTCAAACTATTTTTCCTCACAAAACTACGCAGTTTTCTCCAAAGTCTCAACTGGTACCTTCTGAATGATTTGTCAATCAGGAAAATTCAAAATTAAAACTGAAAAAATGATCTCATTTCAAAAACAAAAAAGGATTCCTAAGATATGCATGTACGTAAATGTAAAACACTGAGCGACTGGAGTCTGTCCCCCGTCCCCACTGACCACACCTTCAGTGCTTACAGAGGAACAACCAAAATGTTCTTAGAGCCCTAAGAATCTGAAGAAGCAAATGTCACAGACTAGGACCCATCCAACCACTTCTATAAACTCAATTTCTTAAAATCTTAAATTTGTGAGATTCAAAGCTGAAATTATACTCCTTCAATACCATCTGAAATTAAGCAGGTGAGAGGGCTAGCGGTCACTAGAGGTATACTAAAAGTTTCAGAAGACCCTAGATAAACAGATAATATTTGCAAAACACTTCACAGTCATTTGCTTCCATTAAAAGACAAGACTTAATAGAGTAAGATTTTAAACAATACTTAATAATTACTTATAAGTATTTAATCTCATTTCTTCAAGGTCAATATGATCCCTATTGTTTATCCTCAGATCACAATAATATGAAGTTTCTTTCCTTTCCTTCTTTACATTCTGATACTCAGATCCCATCTAAATCAGGTATGAGAAATAGTTCAATTATAAATTTAGGAACATGCTCTTAATTATATTACCAAAGTCTGACTACAATCATTCCAAGACCCTGTATCATCTATTCAATGTATATTCATTTATCAAGAGTACTCATTTTCCAAATGAAAACTGTTGTTTGCTTGTTTTTGCTTTTTCAGATATAAGTTCTAGTGACTCAGAAGTAAAAATAGCTATGCACTAATGATAATTCAGTAGAATTGTCATAAGTCCATGTTTTCTGGCATACTAATAAAAAGATCACTATTAGTATAGCATCAACAAATGATATGAACTTTATAGTTATTTCATATACTTAGAAATATATTTCTAACATCTACATTTGAATTTTAGGCTTATTAATACAATAAAACTAAAAAAGGGATTATCTTAACAACAAAATCAAAAGAAGATACAATTCAATTCAATTTTCTTTTCTGCAGGCATAATCAGATGAAGTTTCCTTTTAGATATTCTCAGAATGACACAACTATAAAGCTGTGTAAGAGCAATCAAATAATACTATAATTTCAAAAAAAAAGAATCCATCAAACACAAATTTCCAAGAAATAAAAAACATTAAAGAAATTGTCAGTAATCTAATCTCAAATGTAAAACGCTACAAAATCCCAGCTCCTGTGAAAGAAATGACAAGTAACTAGAAAAAAAATAAAATAAATGAGGTGAACAAAATACAGGTAAGTCATTTTCAGTCCACAGCAAAGCCACCGAGAGGATCCAAGTGTAAAAGTACACTTGGTACCTTGGTGAATCTTGCCTAAAGTGCTGCATAGTCAAGGTGGACCTAACAACACAAGGCTGCCCACTTCTTATACTAAAGACTGAGAAATCCTTTTCACAGTAGAATGCTGTTTACTGGACTGTACCCACAAGCTTCCTGAAAGTATTTGGACTAAGGCTCTTAAGAAGTTCTATCAGCAGAATCTCTGAGTAACAGATACACTACTTTCAGCAGTAAAATCTGCACAGTGGTTGCATCCAGACTATACAGCATACCGGATCATGAAATACACTAAAACGGATGAGTCTTTGCAAAGTAATGACCTTGAAAGCCTGCATGAAGAGAATGTGAATGGATGGGTAGGAGATTTGTACCCCTAACAATCTGACGAGGCAGAAGACTTACCAAACTAATAATAAATACTAGATTCACATATTATGCTGCTTTACTATAAATTCAAAAATGCTGCCTGTGTTTTACTCAGCAAATGATACAAATACTAATCATTACATTGACACTTACAAAGACTGGGAACCCTATAATTTATTCACCTCATTTCAATAATGTCAATTATAGGGCCGGGGATTTAGCTCAGTGGTTCTAACGCCTGCCTCATAAGCACAAGGTCCTGAGTTCAAACCCAGTACAAAAAAATAAAAAATAAAAAATAAATAATGTCAATTATACAACATCAAGATACACTAAAACAATTTTTTCACACTGAAATTTCTACCATAATTTTGAGTTTATTTCGGTCTATCACCTGTAGCAAACCAACTGTCCTTTAAAAAGACAGAAATTTTCTTCTGAAACACTGCTCGTAAAAATAAAAACATTATCAAGAAAACTGAAATATACATTCATTAAAAGTATACAATGCCTAATATTCTGTAATCTAAAATTTTTCTAAGTCGAAAATATGCTATAAATTTGGATTCTGAGAACATCAAAGGTTTTACAAAGTAATCAAAATTTTAAAATTGGTAGTACTGTGCAACAGATCAGCAATCATCACAAGTATCACCTATACAAAATATCCAAAACCAGCCTTTTTATAATATTTGAGTTAAGCCTTTCAACTAAAAAAATCAGAAAAATTAAACAAAATGATAGAAAAACTGATTTGTTAAATATTAAAATAAAATAGCTGACAACTAAATATTACATTGAACTTCTCTGTATACAATTAACATTTCTAAAAAAATGTTGTAAAAGTAAGTTTTCAGCATTTATACTATATAACTTGTGCATGTATTCTACTAGGGATTGCTGTAATTATTCTGAATGTAGCATTAATCTATAAGAGTAATATAAATAAAATTATATTTTCAGTATTGAATATATTAAAAGAAAATACAAATGCAATAACATACACCTATATTTCTCATTAAACCTTGCTGAGTAATAATCTTAGTCACAGAAAAATTAGAATAATCAGAATTCTTTTTTCTTCATGCTATATCTCCTGATACAGTCCTCCTTGATAACAAATATAAACCATCACAAAATATAACACAGTGTATTAGTAATAAGATATGAAAAATACCTCCAATTACCAAGAACTTTCCTTGGCTTCTCTATAACTTCATGAGATGCTTGAGAGGTTAACTTATTTCAATAATACTAGAATTTATTAAGCCTCTTCCCACTATCTGAATTCCAGTATATGAATTTGACAGTATGCTTGGAACAATTTTACTCAAATATGTGTCCTCACAGAGAAGAGGGTGGATGTTTATAAAGTCAATCAAGATAAACTGCTGTTAATAAAATACTTCAAACATATAATTTAACCATTGAGATTGAATAGACAGGGTATTTTAAAGCCCCAATTGTTCAGAAACTAACTTAAAACATAAACCACTCGTTTTGTGTTATTATTTCCCTGTATTTCCCACAAAATGTGCTGCAACTGGCATCTAAATAGTTTCTTTGCATGGTGAACTGAAACATCTTGAATGCTCAAACTGTATTTTTATGAGTGCCTGGGGACCCTAAATTTTAGTGGTCTATTAAATGCCAGCAATTTCATGCTGCCTTGCATAAAACAGCATTCACATATTAGAGCACAGAAGTTCCACAGCTACATTATACCTCTGTTCCAACTTTCAAACAAAAAACTGAAGCAGAAGCTAATCAAAATAATATTTTAAAAACAATCCTTCCCAATCTTTTCACATTCAGTTAATATCTGCTAACAAATGCAGAGCATTTAATTTTTTTTTAAAGACCATTAAATTATATAAGTAACTATTGTTTATCCTCAAAAAATGTATAGTGGCCAAAAACAGTGAGGGAATGGAGGTGGTTTTCTCACATCCATGCACAGTGTACACGCAGGGCAGATGGCAGTGAAAGTAACCTCATGAAGTAAACTACAAATTACATATGTTTTCGCGCAGAAGCAGCCCCGGTACTTATTTGACATATTTCTGCCTTACACGTACTCTTATTGTAAGACTTATACAATCGCCCGTCTTAAGACTTTTTAGTCTCTTACCTGGCAACGTTATCCTTCTCAAAAAGAAATCCAGTCCTATAGTTTGTTTGTACTGTTTCCCAAAAGTTTCTTGAGCAAAACATGTGGCTAAGGAGGTCTAAAAAAATTGATGTACAGAATATCAAAATTAATTTATTTGTTTAAAAAATATAAACATAAGATCATTACTAAATCTTATTAAGTAATCTTAATACTTATACTCCAATTAATCCAACAAGCAACTTTAAACAGCTCTAATCACTTACAAGGGGAGGAGGGACCCTAATATCACTAGGTAGACTTCACTTGCAAGCAGCCAGCAAAGAGGACAACAAACTAATCAGCTAGAGCTCCTCAAATCCCAGTAGTCAAGCTCCTGCTCCTTCATAGAAATTAGAATTTGGGAATTATCAATGGAAAGACTAAAGCAACATGATTAAAGACCCGAATCTTACTTATCAGTTCCATAAAAATTTCAGAAAACTCCTAAGTTTAGCTTTTAGGTTAAATATTCAGGGAGGAGCTGTGTCCTCAGCTAATAAGAAGGGCTGATTAAGCAGGAGAAAACTGCTTTTGGAGTATTTCTTTTTTCTCTAGAAGAAAAACATCTTAATTTTCAAATTTTTGTCTATTTTAAAGATATTAACAAAACAATGATGTAGAATGACCTTTGTAATATGCATTTTTAAATAGCAAGGTAGTATTTTTAAATTAATATAAATAAGTAAAATAAATATTTTTCAAAGACTGTAATGGTAAAAAGGTCACGTTATAACCAGAACAGGTATTTATTGAGTTTTTAAAATAAAAACTCAAAAGTTTCATTTAAAAACTCTAGCGCTTTCTTTTAAGGTACCATTCTTTATCTGAGCAATAAAATAATCATTTTGGTAAAGCAAAAACAAAATGAAGTAACTCCGTAACTCAGACTCTTGATACATTTTAACTGCACTATTCTTTTTTTAAAATCTTCTTAAAGGGAAAAAAAAAGTTTCCTAAGCCTTTATACTCTTCAAGACAGACTGCAAAAGTTAGGGGGAACCCTTTATTTTAAAAATTAAAATTGGGGCTGGGGATTTAGCTCAGTGGTTCTGGCGCCTGTCTTGCAAGCGCGAGGTCCCAAGTTTGATCCCCGGTACCAAAAAAAAAGAGAAATTAAAATGAAATGTCAACACTTAAAATAATGAAAACTAAACTACAATTTCCAAGACAGATTATTAGGGTTAATTATGATGTAAATGCACCAGTACAAAAGAAAACGTTGCCAAATTTCAATTGCTTTTAACAAGATAACTCACGCATGCAAGAACAGTATTTTTCATTCAAATGGCAATTTGCACTGTGTAACTCCAAATTTTTTCGTATTAAAATATTCAGAACTTAAAACATTTCTAAGATCAAGTATTTATTGAGAATTATATGAAAGATGCTCTTCTAGACATTTAGAAATAAACTGACATATTTGTTAACTTCCTTAAACATATCAATATCAAAACTGAGGGATGAAAATAAAAAGAATTCAGCGTTCCTTTTTAAAGAGTTTTTGGGTCTCATTTAGTTTCAGTGATGCCATTGAACTTGTCTACCTTAGAGCACAAAATCATTTGTGAAGAATCTCAGAGTTCTAGAGAAAAATAACTATAAACACATACTAAATATTTCAAATATTTAATACACAGTCGTTGAAATATTTAAAAGTTAAAGAAAAACTCATGGTACAGGTATCAACAGTATGTCATTTGAGATACTTTTTCACTTTAAAATTCAAATTTTAACTTTTTTCTTTCAATTACAATTCAGAAAAATTCTGAATAAGGTTCTTTTCTTGGAAACAGGACTATGAGATTTTTAAAGCCCTTCCATTAAACATTTGAGGCAAACATAAAGCCTCAAAATCATAGGATTTTTAAATTGCAACGGGGTATAAACTCAAAACTACAGGTACAGGGAACACACAGAGTATTAAAGTAAATTTTTATATTATCTCCTGACATCTTGCTACAAAAACTATAGAGAAGCAACTGAATCAGTAGCTGGCACTTCCCTTTATGCTACTTTTCACATTCAGTGATTTCTCACAAATTACTATATAAATACCCTTGGTGAAATAATTATAAAGTGAACAAACAGCTATCACATCTAAAATATTTTTATCTGATCTTGCACATACAGATTTGGAAAATTTCTAACTTTTTATAAACTACCTTTACAAACACTGATATGACACTAAAAAAGGATGTTTTGCCTCAAAAAGTCTGAAGAAAATGTACAATAAAATCAAAGGTACGAATCAGAACAGGAAGAAACAGAAACACGTGTTACTGGAGGGAGGAGCTAAATTCCTCTGGGGAGACACGTTAGTGGTCATCTCAGTACTTTCTTCTATCCCTCTGTCAGTGTGTACAAAAACGCCCAGTACTAAAACCAGCAGGAAAAACTACTGTTAAAAAATGGCAGAGTTAAATCAAAATATATACATCAATGATAGAGAAGCTGTTCATAAAAGGACAGTAAAAGAAAGGGAATAGGAATGTTGGTAGCTGCCAACAATTTAAAAGCTGAACAGAATATGGAAAAAAAATGTTTGATATAAGACTAAAAGAAGGTTAGGTTAGGAAGTTAGGTTTCAGATGCTCATTTCAGAAAATTTCTGGCAGAAAGTTGTTACAGTTTGAAAAAAAGATTAGTCAAGAAGATGAACACAAAGTCAGAGCACCATAAAAATACCACCGTTACTCTTTGAAGCAGAATGATAGCCCTGATTCAACCATATAGAAGCGAAAAAAAAATATGCTTTATTCTACAGTGCTAGACAGAGCTTTAAGAAGAGATGAAAAAAATCATAATTATTCACAGTAAACTAGCAACAAAGGGAAAAACAACTATGATAGTCTGAATTTTTTTTAAAAACTAGATACAAAACTATTAACAAATTTTAACTAAACAACACATGTATCATAGATAAGTGGTAGAAGGAAAATGAACAAAAGTTTAAAGAAATATGAGAGCAAACAGGACAATAGGTAATTTAAGAGTCTTTTTGCAATTGTATTACCACTACAGAGTGTTATCATTTTAAATGAGAAAGAAGCTCCGTCACTAATTCAAAGTAATAAATTCTGGAATACAAAAAAAATTAGGTGATGTCAAAAGAAAATCATTTAAATAAGCTGGACATTATGGTTAAGGTCTGTAATCCCAGCACTCCAGAGGCTGAGGCAGGAGGACTGCAAGTTCAAAGCAGCCTAGCCTAGGCTACACAGGGAGACCTACCTCAAAAAATCGTACTAAAAAATTAAATTTAAAGTTAAAAACTGAATGAGAAAACGATAAAAATCTAACTTAAAAATTTTGTTGAGTAAAGGTGTTAGTTAAAAAGCTCAGTGATTTACAACAATTCACTTATTCAAAAACAGGTTTTTAAATGTACAAAACCTCATAGAATACTTCATAAAGTGGCGTCCAATTCTTCTCTTCCCCCAAAATTTCTAAAGGTAATCACAGCATATTAAATTGTTTCCTTAGAATACATTTCTACAACAGAGTATACTGGAAAGACAACAGAGAAGTCAAGAGAATATCCAACTTTTGTATACGTATGACATCATTCCCAGGGGCGCCAGAAACCCAAATTTCAGAAGCAAAAGCAGCAGCAGTAGCTTGTGCGTAGTGCTAACTGCCAGAGGACGGGAAGAGAAGCCGTCACCGCAGAAACCAGATTCCAAGCTACACCAGCAACACGGAAATGTGAAGCCGAAAATTGGAAACTGGCAGCAGTCAGAACCAGCAAGTCTGAAGACTGGCTGGAAAAAGGAGGGAGGTAGAAGACAGACAACCACCAACATCCACAGGAGTCTGGGCACCCTCGACAGAAGCGACAGGTGTGCAGGCAACCTGGACAGAGGTCCTTCTACCTACTGAGAGGCTGGGTAGTGACCTCTGAGGTCCTAGGGACCCTCTCTCTCCCTCCAGCAAGTGCAGGGCAGTTTATTCCGTTCCGGGTGGGAGCTCCTGAACCCCTCCCTGCCTGGGAGCGAAGGAGATGACTGGCTACGGGGTATTCTCACACTCTCGTTCACTGAAGCCAGGGTCACCCAGCTACATTTGAAGGCAGGGACTCCCCTCTCGGGCTGGCAGCTTTACCCTCAGCATCCTGCCCACAAGAGGAGCCCCATGAACATTTGTTGAATGTATGCTCGTACTGACAGGTGCTGTGCTGGGAACAGAGATGAAGAACACGTACGATACCGAAATCCCAACTGACGTTTATTGAGTGTACACCGTACTCTAGGAGCTTTATGTGCGTTTTCACGTATTTTCACATTTCAGCCTTTGCGGGGACCCTATCGACCGGGGATCTTACGGAGGAATCGCAGGCAGGCTCGAAACGTGGCCTCCAGTGACCCGACCAGTGAGTGGCGGATCCCCAATAATCACCAAAGGCATCTGATTCCTGGGCAAAGCTCCTGGGAGCTCGAGGTGCAGTGCAGGCATCAGGTACGGGAAAGGGGCGGGGCGCAGGTGTGACCGAGCTGCAGGTAAGGGAGGGAAGCAGCTTTGGCAGATCTCTAAGTCCTTCCAGGGGAGAGGCGAGAAAGCTTCCCCGGGAGACGACGCCGGCCCGAGTCTTGAAGGAGATCGTGGTCCAGGCGGGGACTAGTAACCGACTTGGTTTTTCTCAGGGGGCGCGCGCGGGACAGCTCCCGGCGGCCTCCACCGCGCGCCCACTTCCGTCCGCCCTCGGCCACCACCAGGCGGGCCCCGGCCTAAAGGAGCCGGGCTCGGGATAGTCAGGCCACGCCGGGCGGCAGGGCTGAGGCTGGGGGCGCCGGGGGCGCGCCCTTTCAAGGACTGACCTTCCCGGAGGTGCCGTCCCCCAGCACGACGATTTTCAGTTGCCGGTCCTGGCTCTCCTCCTCGGAGTCCGACATGGTGTCCCGACAATCCAGCCCGCCCCCGAGGTGGAGGGAGGAAGCAAAAGCTAGGCCTCCGGGGGCGAGGGAGAGGAGGAAGGCGGGCAGTGGGGGCCGCACCCTCCGCCCCGGTGTCTCCGCAACCGCTGGGTGACCCGGGGAGAATCACCCACCCGGCGCCATCTTGCCCACCTCCCCTCCCTGCGGCGCGCGGCCCCGCCCCTGCGCGTGACGTACGGGAGGCCCCGCCCCTACGCCGGCGCGCGCGCGCGGAACGCGAGTCTCCCGGGCGGGCCAGACCACTGGGCTGCAGCGGAGGTATTCGAGCAGGAGAGGCGAAAGCCTGCGCCGCCCTCGCAGATCCCGTGGCTAGAAGAGACAGCTAGATGTATATTTCAAGCTAAGTGAGCAAAATGTGGTAGAAAAGCTCTGAGACGCTCTAAAAAGTCCCCTCTTTCTGCCCCCGCCTGAGAAGAAGCGAATGGTTTAGCCCCAGGGGACGGGGTCGATGGGGCGGTGACACCTGGTTGCCATGGAATCCGGGGGGGGTCCACGGCTGGGCACCGGGGACACGCGTGGCCCCGGGGGTCGCGCGGCCAGAGGGAGCCGAAACCGAGGTGGCCTGCGGAGGCTGCACGGTGGAGGGCGGCGGAGGGGCGGTCGGGTTCCGGGAAGCTGCAGTAGCTGCAGAGAAGTGTGACGGAGCCCTAGGGTTCTGTTTGTTTGAGCCTCTGAAATCCTGGGTTTCCTCCTCTAGGAGCATAAAGTTCGAGGGTTCGTTCTCCAGGCAGTACTGAGAGCCACACAGTCTTCACCCCAGGGCAGCGTTCTCAGTGAGATCTGGGGACCCCTGGGATTTCTAGAGAAGTCGAACAATTTCTCGTGGTAATATACACGCCTCGTTTGCCTTTTTCACTTGAACTTCGCTGTCACAGGATTACAGTTTTCCGGAGGATACCTGTAGCGTATGACGTCATCACTCCGACCGCTAAGAGAGCTTTTGTTTGCTACTGGTTTTAAACATTTTTCATATTTTCAATACTTTAATGATAGGTACAATCCACATAACCATAAGCTCTTTGGAGTTCTCAGTAATTAAGAGATAGGGGACCCTTCCAAAATACTTGAAAACCGCCCTGGATTATCGCAGATAAGTAAATGACGTAACTGAAAAATTATAATACAGAGATAAATTCTACAATAATGATGCCAGTTTTACATGGCTTACCAACTTCACTTCTCTTAGAAATGCTTTAAAGAAGGTAGAATGATGCCCATTTCACAGGAGGAGGCTTGAATGGCAAAAAGCTCTGAGGCAGTAGTCCTAGAGAGACTATAGGAAGTAAAAACGGAAAAACAATAGTGTAAAGAAATAGCCAACCCTGGAGAAAGGACTGGAGTTCTTTCACAGAGCCACTCAGTGTATGACCTGAAGCCACATTTTCCTTATTTATGAAATGGACTATCTCCTTCCTACTTGAGGTTGAGAATGAAGTGAAATAATTGACGTTAACTGTTGTTAAAGTAGCATAGATAGCGTGTTGCCTGGGGTGTAAGAAACACAGGATTAGCCAGTTCCTCTTCATGATGTGGTGAGTGACAGCTTTCTAGCCATGTTACCCTAGACAGGTTTCTTATGAACAGTCTCTGTCTGCTCACCTGTTGGTAGGGCTGATCCACATAATAGGTACCTGGTTAGTATCCGTTCCCAGTTCTTTGCCTTCTCCCCACCTGCACCACTACCAAAAAGCCTTTCTATATCCCTAGACTTGTTCATAGAATTTGTTTAAAAGGGGAGGGGATATGTTAAAGGGCTTTGTAATTTTAAATTTGAGCAGTCTGCTTCTGGTGAGAACAAACTGAATTCTTTTTTGTCCGGAAGGGAAATTAATATGCCAAAAATTTGCTTTTCCATTCTTCCTTGGTGGAAATGGCTATGTGACCCATCTGACCAATCAATATCTTTGTGAGACATTTGAAAAAGATGTTCGTCCCCTACTAAAAATCCAAGAAAAGAAAAAGAAAGAAGAGAACTCTCTCTTCCCTTTCTTTGCTGTCATTATTGGAAGAGAACATGATGTTCAGAACTAACAAAGTCTTTTTCACACTACCTCCTAGGCACCTTGTTAAGAGAAATAATACTATTAAGGCACTTAAGAAATGCATTTCTTGGAGTGGGGATTTGGCTCAGTGGTTCCAGCACCTGCCTCATAAGCCCAAGGTCCCGAGTTCAATCCCTGGTACCAAAAAAAAAAAAAGATGTATTTCTTTACTTGCAAGCAAAACTTCCTAGCTGGCACAACTACTTAGGCTGAAAATGCTTTAACCAACATCACAAGACTGATTTTCATGCATAGTTTCATGTGAAGGGAAATCTAGAACAAAACATTTTCTAATCGTCGGTTTCTGAAATGATTCCTTCAGTGGAGAGACATTTATTTACTTATGGCTGCGTGACTAGGACAGAGTTACTGTTTAAAAAGTCCGTTGCATTATTTTAGTGACCATATTTTATACATCTATGGCAAGTTTTGGGATGTAAAATGAAAATTTGAAAACATAGAGCCATTTTTGTAAATTTAAAACAGAAGTTCCCCTTGTGTGAAGGAATGTGTTAGCCTTGAAAGCATCCAATTTGATACTCTGACATTCTAAATAAAAATAGAACTGATCCACAAAAAAAATTAAAATGTCTCTGTGGATTCTCAGAACAATGCCCACAACAGGGCCACAAACTAGGAGAATGTCTTTTGGTGGTCTTAAAACTAATGAAAGGTTTAGAGAATTCTAAACATTTCAAGAAATAGGTGTTCTTTAGAACAAGAACCCCAGTTTGAAAATGGTATTGCCGGCATCCCTAACAGATGTTTATCCAAACTTGGTTTAAAAACATCTACATGCAAGAAGTTTGTCCCTTCGTGAAGCAACCTGCACTGTGGATGGAGAACGCTTGGTTATTAAAATACTTTCTACAGAAAGTTTCTCAACTTTGTAATTCCAGATAATGGTATTAGTCATGTCTTCTCTAGTAAAACAAAAACTCCCCATTCTAAAAGATGATTCAAATGACTCAATACTTAATGCTTGACTTAACAGATATTCAGTGAGTGCCTACTGTATAGCAGGCATTCTTGTTCATGACTTCTGAAGACACAGAAATGATCGAAATGTAGGAGAGCTATACTCCATTGACTTTACAGTCTGGTTGGCGGGATGAAGTAGCCTGAATAATGGTCATAGAGATGTCAGCTCCAAATCATCAGAAACTATATAACTATATATAGCATTATAAAACTATGTTAACTTATTTGAAGGAAGCACCTGTTAGATGTCATTCAGCGAAAAATCTTGAGATAGCAAGATTATCCTGGATTATCTCGGTGGACTCTCAAGGCAATCACATGTATCCTTATCAGGAAATTGGAAGATTTGACTCAGAAAGAGAAAGCAATGTTACTAGAGTTACAGAGACTGCACTGATGCAGCCACAAGCCAAGGAATGCTAGTGGCCAGAAGAAGCAGGAAAGGACAAAACTCCAGATTCTTCCCTGGAGCTTGCAGAGGGAAGACAACCCTGTCCATGCCTGACTTCCGTTCAGTGACATTAATTTAGGAATTCTAGCCCTCAGATCTGTGAGAAAATATGTTATTTTCAGATACCAAGTTTATAGTAATTTGATAGAACAGCCACACGAAGTTAATGTGAAGACAAATAGAGATATTTAATAAGAAAACTTTGGATTAAAATAGCTAAAAATAGTAAAACAGCTGGTGGATAGGATAGAGCAAAAATATCTGAATATTACTATTCATCACTAATAAAGGTTAAAAAATACTAAGTGAATTGATCAGTGAGTAAACTGATTTCAGGAAGTACCAATCTCTAGCACCTTTTTTTGGGAGCGGGGGGGGGTACTGGGGATTGAACTTGGGACCCTGCGCTTGCAAGGCAGGCGCCACAACCACTGAGCTAAATCCCTGGCCCTCTACCATCTTCTTAACAAATCCAATAGTTGTCCATCGGTTTCCTTCTTCTTTTTGAAATATTTCATAATTTTGTCAATGCAGACCCTAAAAGACTAAAGCCCATTAGAATATAGATTTGGGGAAAAGGAAAAATGTTACTAAGTAAGGCAAAATAATGACCATATTCCCATCTTGTGCAGTCCTGCATTTCTGCTGAAAACATAAGAAAAATATAGAAATGTTCTCCAGAATTCATTAAACTCCTATAGGATCAAATAAAGAAGCCTAAAATCCCCCTTTTTTTCTGTAAACATGCATACAAAGATACACATATGTGTATAAACACCATTTTGACTAAGATACACACTTCAAAATCCTAACAGGCTTTCTTGTACTCTCATTCATTGACTCCTCAAAACTTAATAATATTCTGACTTCTTGCACTATTAATCAATTTTACCTGCTTTTGAACTCCATGTGAATAGCCACACACACTAAATACTCTTTGATATCTGGCTCCCTTTCCTTCGATAGTATGGCCATGAGAGTCATCATGTTGTATGTACAGCAGATGGTTGTGTTTTTCCATTGCTGCTATTCTATTATATGAATTTATCTCAAGTTATTTACTCACTGTATTATTGGTGGACATAAAGTTTGCTTCCAGTTTGGGGATATCATGAATAATGCTCCTTAGCACATTCCCTCATCAGTCCATCAATACCACTCTACTCAAAAAAAAAAAAAAAAAAGCTTCATCTATGTTTTCTAGTCTTGAAATGGGTAAGACATTCAAAAACCATGGAACCGGTCCTTGGATATACCTTCTGAACATCAGCATTTAGCAGTATACTTTTGGACTACCTTATCTCCTATATCTGGTAGTCTCTACTGACAAATGAATTTTCACACATTGCTTTGTTGAACATTATAAAAATGTCACTTCCATATATATAAATATATATTTAGTTCACTTTCAATCAAAACTTCCCTGACTCTGAGAATAGTGCTGAGTTCATCTGAAAGAATAAAAATCAGAAATGTAAGGGGGTGGAACAAGCAATACAGGAGTCATTAATAACACAATTTTTAAATACAGTGTAATTGTAACTATATCATACAATATCTGAGAATTATTCTTAAATAAGTATATTTTATTGGGAAAAATTACAAAACATGAAAACATGGAATAAAAACTAACTAAATAAAGATATCTCATATCCATGAAGCAATAAAGGAATGTAAATGTCAGTTCTATCAAA